GGGACAAGGCGCGCGAGGTTTACGGTGACTGTCGCGGCGCTGGGGAGGCGGCCGGTGCGGGGCCCTCGGCGGGGAAGCCGGGCGCGTTCCGCAGGGGACGTCCCCCGGCCGAGCAAAACGGGCGGTTCTGCTGCTGAACGGCCCCGGCTTTAGCAGCTTTCCCGTCTCTGGGAATGCCGCTTGGTGGGTTTGGAAGGGCAGAGCCGCCTGGGCTCTGGCTCTCCTCCTGGTGCTTGATGGAGGGAGCGCTTCCCCTTTGGCTTGTGGGGGCTTTTCACGCAGAAAAAGAATAAAGAATTAAAAATAGGTAAAGAAATGTGTTAGAATTTGAGGAACACGCAGATACCGTAGGTGTGTGCACTGTAACACACTGTAGTTCAGCTCTACAAGCCTAGCCAAACGGGCCAGCTAAAAGTTTGTACGGAAAGTGCCAGAACTATGGAAAAAGTGAAATATCTTTGAGCAGTCTGATGAATTGGGGTGTGAATCCACTTCCTAGGAAGCATTTTAATGGAGCCAAGCTGCTCATCTGCTGCTTGCCCTCACGATGCCGGCCGTAACCGAGGGGACGGTGAGCGGTTCTTTGGAACCCCGAACGCCTGCGGGGGCTTCCAGGTTCATAACTCGGCACCGTGACATCCTCGTGGTGCAGGAAGCTGAAACACGTTGGAGGCTGCAGGGCAGCTCCAGCAATGCCTCGAAAAAATAGGGAAGGGGCTAAGTTCTCTCATCCATCACGGGTCTTATGTTATGGTCTAAACGATGGCAGTTCGCTTTGCACAGCAAGTGGTTCCCAACCCTGCAGGAAGGTTTTTCTAGGTCGAGAGGGTTCGAATGGTCCCTGCAGGAGGGTGAGGCGAGTTCCTCTGTTACTGTCCTAAAAACTCTCTTCTTCTGCAACTTCTACAACTGTCCTGGCAAAGTCTGCCCGTCTCTTGCAGCCTGCAGGCCTTGGGCAGGGGCCAAGCCCCGCCTGGAAGCGCCACGGCGAAATCCGTGCCCCTTGTCCCGGAGCCGGGACGTGCCGGGGCCGGCCGCAGCTTCCCGGCAGAGCCGGGGCTCTCCACGCGCCCGGGGAGCCGCTCCTGCTGCTGCTTGGAAGCATCGTCCCTTTTTGCTTCAATTTTCGACCCAGCTTAACCCGTATCACTTCCGTAACATTATTTATAGCAAAACTGCCTGTACGTGCACTTCTAAGGAGCGAACAAGAGCGTACGCAGCAGAAAGAGAAGGTGACAGCAGGGAGCTTCTTAGGTCTGGCCTTTCTGGGAGAATTAGCGTGGTCATGCCGGGGACGTGGTGCAGATGTGCACACACTTGTGCTCTCACTCTTTTTGCTTATATCCTACGTTATCCGCAAGCACATTGAAATGCAGGATCTCATTTTTCAGGTTCTTAAGTTTACAGAATTCATGTACTGTCTTGTGTATTATTCTTCAGTGCTCTATTGTCACATGTTGTAGTTTCTGAATATCACTTTAAAGGCTTTAGATCTATGGAAATAGTGACAATAAATGTGATTGCTTGTATTAGGAAAGCTTCTTAACCAATCCAGAACGCATGAAAAGTATTCTGTAAGCAGCAATGTTCTTTACCATTTTCCATAAAGATGTTTTATACTTAGTTGATCCTCACCTTTTACTGGCTAAGGCAATGATCACATTTGATGATTACCCATCACTGATACGGATAAAAATGGATTAGTGCATTATTCTTGTCCTGGCTTTCCTTAAGATGATTTCAAGGTGATTTCCTTAAGATGGCATCTATGAGGCCCAGGCAGGGAACTGGAGGTGGGATTGCAAAGTTACTTATTAATAGGTTTGCTTGTGTTGCAGGTTTTTAAAAATCTAACTTACCTGAAATATCACATTTATGTTCATCTTGTCTGTAGGTAATACTGAATCACACGTAAATCTAAAGCTGATATATATCCTTTAATAGACATGTTCTGATTTGAATTTGTTACTGGGATTGTAAAAGCGATAGCAAGTTAGAATTTGTATGTGAAAAGCACGTTCAGAATGAACAACAAACGCTTCAGTTTGCCCAGTCCTGATGTAACTCCTGAGATAATGCACTGCTGCTGTTCTCAGCTCCGCTTCTTTACAAAAAATATTGTGTGTCCAATATAGGAAAGCTTCCTTATCGTGGTGTCCTGTCTTCTGTTTTAGATATAATCCGTACTATCCGGGACCCGGAGAAGCCCAATACTTTGGAAGAACTGGAAGTGGTGACGGAAAGCTGTGTGGAAGTCCAGGAGATCGGTGAAGAGGAGTATCTGGTTATCATCAGGTTTACACCAACAGTACCTCATTGTTCGTTAGCTACTCTCATTGGTAAGATTTCTGTTTCATTAAGACTCTCATAATGAATATAAGGTTAGTTGTGGCTTATCTGAACAAGATCAGACTTAGTAATCAGTATTGTTTTGCCAGCAATTTAACTTGAAATTTTATCTTAAATCTGTTAACAATACAAAAAATGAAGAAGTACGAGGATGTTCAAGATGTTGTTTTATCAACTTGGACAAATTCTTCAAGAAAAGAAGCGCTCAGAATTTACTAGGAGAATAAAAGGAGGGATTCTTTATTGCTTCCAAGCTATTCTGGTAATGTTAAATTGAAAATTTCTCAGCTCTTAAATTAAAAAGAAAAAAAAAAGTTGCATCTTCATGACTCTTCCCCCTAGCCTTGCTCACACATGCTCAAAAAATAATGAAGTTTATGAATTCCTAGAATTCTGAAAACACTTAAGTTGAAGAAAAATCTACACTGGCTTAGTTTTCCTTTTTTTCTTTTTCTTCTCTCTCTCATTATTTGTGGTGAGAGCAGATGTCTGTTCTCTGAAATATTTTGTTTACATGTACCAGGATTAAAAACTCTTGCTGTTATATATTACTAGTAAGATTTCTCAGTCCATCTTAAATATTTCAGATGAATTAAAAGCTTTACTCCAAAAGTGTGTGGTTTTTGCTACCAAAACAGACCGTTGCTGCCATCTGTAAAAGGTGAAGTACAGGTAGAAAGCAATAGCCAGCCAGGAATAATTTCAACCAATTTATGCTGAATTTTTTTAACAAATGCCAGGACACAAAACAAGCATTTTCCTTGGTACTGATGGATCCACAGTGACCACCAACAAGCTATATTTAAAAATGCAGGGGAAAGCTGGAAATAATGATTTTTGTGTATTTAATGTATCTAGAGAGGATTAAGAGCCTGACGACCTCCTAAGCCTGTAAAGCAGCTATAAACTCAGCTGAGAAGCTGTCTCCAAAGGGGCTGAGAAAGGTTATTTTCTCTCTTCTGTGGCTTGTGCTGCTCAGCAGGACAAAGGAGAAAGCTGTCAGTTATACTGGTGTTTTTGATTGTGAATCTGTATCCTCTGAAAACGTACCTCAAACATTGAACTTGGCAAGCAAAACTCTTTTTTTTTTTCTTTTTTTTTTTAACAGGCCTTTGTTTAAGAATAAAACTTCAGAGATGTTTGCCCTTTAGACATAAGGTAAAGTATCTGCTCTGGAACTTGCATGAAAGCACATGAACGTGTGCTGAGTGCTGGGCTTTCCTCGAAGGAGGGCACGTTGCAGGCTCGAGTGACTTGCAGGCTATAGCAGAAGAGGATTTTTCTAAAATCTGTTACTTGCTCATGGAGGGAGGGAATGTCACAGTTCAGTGTAGCACCTGGGGAATTGCTGAATAACTGTGATTCTTCATTTTCTTTACAAAAGACATTCTTTCTTTTTGGTGAACTTCTGAAACAGGCCAGCTTTTAAGAAATCTCCTGCCACTAATCATTCAATTTCTTGCCCAGTGGAGAGAAGGGTGTTTTCTAAAGCTAATATTTTGATGAAACAAAGTCATACTATTGCCAGAAGGCACTATTCATTTCCTTCAACATATCCAAGCGTAACAGGAGTCCATTCTGCGCAACGTCTTATCAAGG